CAAGCTTCAGTCTTCCTTGGAAACTCGGATCGTAAGAGATCCTTGTGTGTCTCAATATACGGATCTACCAAAGAGGAGTTCTGTAGAACTATGTAGTGCGCTTTATTGAAATAATCATCATCCCTACCAATATATGTTTTCCTCCCTAGTGTCCCCTTTCCGCTTAGTCTCCCTTCATGTATCGATTCAGGAACACCAATCGAGTCAAGGTCGGGAATAAAGTCAACACAGAACTCAATGACCTCTTCTGTTCCATAGCCCTTGGCGATGCTTCCTTCTGGGCGAGCACGGTTCTGAACATATTTCTTCAGGACTCCCATAAATCTCTCTAAGGGGAACATGTTGTGTAGGAACACAGGACCGAGAGTGAAAATCTCCTTGACTAGGTGAACTAGCAGGTGTGTCATAATATCAAAGAAGGAAGGAGGGAACACCAACTCAAAGCTGACGAGACATTGAACCACATCATTCTGTAGTTTAGCTAGATCAGTTGGATCAATTGCCTTCTGAGAAATTGCATTGAGGAATGCACATAGCTTCATGGTGGCTAGACGTACATTTGGAGGTAGAATTCCTCTTAATGCAACTGGAAGTAATTGCGTCATGAGAACGTGATAGTCATGGGACTTTAAGTTACAGAATTTCTTCTCTAGCACATTTATAATACCCTTTATATTTGAGGAGAATCCAGATGGTACCTTGATGTTGTTTAAGCATTCAAACATGATTTTCTTCACATCTTTGCTTAGAGTGTAGCTAGCAGGACGTAAGTAATGGCGTCCATCATCTGTCTTCTCTGGATGCAGGTTGTCTCTTTCTCTCAAACAACGTAGGTCCTGTCGTGCTTCAAATGTGTCCTTAGGCTTTTTATACACACCCATAAAGCCTAGCAGGTTCACACAAAGATTCTTCGTTAGGTGCATCACATTGATCGAGCTGCGGACCTCTAGGACTTGCCAATAGGGTAGGTCCCAAAATATGGACTTCTTCTTCCACATGGGTGCGTGACCGTTAGCGTCGTTCGGAACAGGTTGGCTTCCATGTCCTTTTCCAAAGACGACTTTCACATCATTGACCATATCGAGTACATCCTCACCGATTCGGTTGCGAGGCTTGGTCAGGTGGTCTGCCTTCCCTTTAAAATGCTTGCCTTTCTTTCTTACGGGGTGATTTGCAGGAAGAAATCGACGATGGCCAAGGTACACGACCTTTCGACATTTTTTCAAGAATACACCTCTAATATCATCAAGAAGCAGTGTGTGCATGCATTATATCCCTTATTTGACTGTCCTGAAAGATTACTTAGAGCAGGTCAATCATTAATTGTTACGAACAACAATGCTCGCAGATCAAAGTGTTCCTGTTTGTACTCATCCCACACACGTACACCTTCTTTATTCCACAAAATAAGAAGTTCGTCAATAAGTGGTCTCAGGTACACATCGATGTCATTGCCAGGTTGCTTCGGGCCTTGGATGAGCACAGGCATCATAATGAACTTCCGCTTCATGCATAACCAAGGAGGAATGTTGTAGATACTTTGAGTAACAGGCCAAGTGCTATGACTACTGTTCTGCTCTCCAAAAGGATTGATACCATCTGTACTTAAAGCAAACCTTAAGTTTCTTGCGTCATTTGCAAACTCTGGGAATTCTCTATTGATTGCTCTCCACTGGGACCCATCAGCAGGGTGTCTCAACATATTGTCTACCTTACGGTCTTCTTTGTGCCATCACAACAATTTTGCATGTTCTTTGTTTCTGAACATACGTTTCAAGCGTGGTATTATAGGAGCATACCACATAACCTTGGCAGGGATTTTCTTCCACGGACGTTCGCCCTCAACATCACCAGGGTCATCTCGCCTGATCTTATACCGCGACGCATGGCATACCGGGCATGCATCCAATTTCTCGTACTCTTTGCCACGGTACAGGATGCAGTCATTAGGACATGCATGTATCTTCTCTATTTCTAGCCCCATAGGACAGACAACTTGTTTTGCTTCGTAGGTAGTGGCGGGCAATTCATTGTCCTTCGGAAGCATCTTCTTTTGGATTTTTAGTAACTCTCCAAATCCCTTGTCAGATACACCATTCTTTGCCTTCCATTGCAGCAATTCTAGTGTGGTTCCCAACTTTTTCTGCCCTGCATCACAAGTTGGGTACAACAATTTCTTGTGATCTTCTAGCATCCGCTCGAACTTGATCTTCTCCTTTTCACTTTCACATTCTCTTTGTGCGTCACGAATGACCTGAGAAAGATCATCAGCCGGCTCATCTTCTGCGGCTACCTCTTCTTTAGCTTCTCCCATTGCCAGTATCATTGAAGCACGCACCATCGGGAATAATATCATTGTCGTCCCATTGTTCTTCTTCACCTTCTTCCATTACAACACCGGTTTCTCCGTGCTTTGTCCAACAAATATAGTTTGGCATGAAACCCAACTTGAACAAGTGTGAATGAAGAGTCCTTGAGCAAGGATATTCTACCATATTCTTACATATGGCATATGGGCAGCACATGAAACCGTCGCGTTTGTTTGCCTCGGCCGCACGTAACAAAGAATGCACGCCGTCAATGAACTCTTGGGAGCGATGATCAGCATTATACATCCAATGACGGCTCATCTGCATTACATGACATAAATACCATATTAAAACCTAGATCATAATTAATTATTTATACAACATGCGTGCCACCACAAAAGATACAAATTTATGAAAGCATCGCTACAATGTAGACAATCCCAACTACCACTAAAAGAACTAAAGCTAAAATACATTTCAGTAGCACTAGGATTTCACGACCAATCTCAACTAAAACAGACAGATCCCCCGATTGTGCAACATCTTTGGGCTTCTTCGGTTGGATCACTGCCTCATTAGCCGCCGTATCTGTCTGTTGTGCAAGATATTTTTGCACGAGTTCAACATACTCTTCCTCCCAGTAGAAGCCTGAACATCGTCCACTGCCATCCCACTGAAATTAAAATAAAAAATTAGAACTTTAATCACAACCATCATGAAAATAGGTATAAACTAACCATAATCATTAAATACGATAAAATAACTCACATTGCGATCCGGACACTTGTAGAAGATACGATCCTTGTTGGGACCCTCCTTCTTCACTCGTTACTCCATCACAATCTTTGTCTCATCAATGATATTTTTTAATACTCTATAAATTTATCCTTTTATAAACAAATAAAATTAAGAAACTATAAAATTATCTAGATCTCTAAACAATGATATTTTTAATGGTCATTGTGTTCTCGTCTTTTACTGCGGCGGGTAAGTAATTCACATGATATTTCCGCAAATTAACAGAAGAATGAGAGTGTACACATAACAGACTACTGCGACGATATCGGGACGTGTGAATAAATAACCATCTGTACTAGTTGACCTTGCTTACGTGATCATCTCGACGAGTATTTCTCCACCGGACGGCACCGTACATGGCCACGGAAGAGCTCCAATTCTACGAGGAAGGGAACACGGTCTTCCACGACCGTTGCCGCTCTCCCTCGTAGAATCAAAGCTCCTCCTTGACGTCTGTTACCGCTCGGCAGAGAACATGCTCGCCGAGATGAACACGGTCCGCAAGTTCAACTAGTACGGATTTTCTATAATTTTCTAACTATTTTCTAAGTTTATATTTATATATATACTACGTTTGGGTACGGTGATTGACAAACTACTGCGACGATATCAGGACATGTGAATAAATAATCATCCGTACTAGTTGACCTTACTTACGTGATCATCTCGGCGAGCATTTCTCCACCGGACGGGACCGTACTTGGCCACGGAAGAGCTCCGATTCTACAAGGAAGGGAACACGGTCTTCCACGACCGTTGCCGCTCTCCCTCGTAGAATCAAAGCTCCTCCTTGACGTCCGTTACCGCTCGGCAGAGAACATGCTCGCCGAGATGAACACAGTCCGCAAGTTCAACCAGCTACTTTAACCTTCTTTCATGTAAATATGCAAGCTTGAAGTGATTTTGAGCTCAAATTGCATACAAATGAAAAAAACCACAATAAAGAACCATATATATATATATATATAGTGAACAAAATGAGATAAGACAATGGTGAAAAATGAGAGTATGAGATTGGTAACCTTTACAACTGAAGAATCGACGGAGGAATCGAAGAAATCGACGGAGGAATCGAAGAATGGATGGAGGAACAATGGAGGGAGGGAGGAAGCAAGAACACTAGTGCAATGAGCTTCAAAATGTGCTGAGCTCGGGCTCGGGGAGGAAGAAGGAGACGGCCGGGATATAAAGGGGGGACCTTTAGTCCCGGTTGGTGGCTCCAACCGGGACTAAAGGTAACTTTTCAACCCGGGGCGCAGCCACGGCCCGGGAGTAGACCTTTACTCCCGGTTGGAGCCACCAACCGGGAGTAAAAGTATACCTTTAGTCCCGGTTGGTGGCTCCAACCGGGACTAAAGGTCCCTGCCACCTCTGTCTGGCGCAGTAGCCGTTGGGCAGGGACCTTTAGTCCCGGTTGAAGCCACCAACTGGACTAAAGGTATTTCTAGTCCCGCACGTAAAAAATTCCGGGACTAGAGCCTATTTTGACCGAGGATCAAAGATCTGTTCTCTACTAGTGAATCCTCCATTCTTTTCTTGTACCTGAGACTAACAAAGTGTCTAGGATGAACTCTTTGATGGACTTTGTGACGGGTTTGCTTTCAACATCGCAGGCAAACCATTGCCCTATGAAAGACATGCCTGCAGTATTGATGTTGTTGTATTGTCCGAGCTGTTGGGACCACTGTTTGGTGCAGCACGGCAACAAGACAGACTGAATACACTTGGCTAGGCATGGACGATAGAAGCTCAAGTAGGGGAAAATGAAGAGTGCGGTAGAGGACACATCTAGGGCTATGGCTCCTACAAGCAGTAGGTAGGTTACCGTGATATCAACTCTGCTGCTAGCGTGGAGTTGGCCCCCCTTCTCGGCTGCTCGGAAGAGTGCCAGTGCTATTGTGGTGGCTGTTACGGTTGAAAAAACCATGAGAAGGAGGATTGCCAAGTAGGAGATGCGTAGACAAGTTTTCAAAATGGGATTTGGAACCTGGCCAAAGGGTTGAATGAAACGAAATCGAAGAACGTCTTTGGTATAAAGTCGGCTGTAGCAATGTTCCAGAAGTGCTCCAACATGCTCGTAGGCACTGCGGCGGCTTTCGCTAGACAGAAACCCCTTGAGCATGCCTGGTAGAAGATCACCATAAGCACCTACAGTGATGTTCTGTGTCTGGTTGAGGGGAGCATCCATTGAGATGATATCAGATACGAGTGCCACGGCGTCCCAGAACAGTCCACTTGGTGGCTCTGATGAACTACCTTTCTTCATCATCTCAAGTGTCACCCTCATGTTTTCTTCGGCTGTATCTCTGGTTCCGTTTGATCTCGGAACCAACCCCTTGCCTCGCTCATGCTGAAGCCGCCCCTCTAGCTTCAACGACTTGTTCCACCGCCTGAGCCGGTCTGTGTCGGCAAGGTAGAGGCAACTGATACGCGCGGCGTACTTGAGGCACCCACAGGCGAACATGATCACCATAGCCGCCCTGAGCCGGGCGTCCGGCCAAGAAGCTTTAGCCACCACGTACCCAGCGACCCCTGCCTGGATGACCAGGTTCAGCAGGTGCCTCCGCCACATCTCGTTGTCCTGCTTGGAGAAGGCCGTGATGGTTTCCTGCCCGCCCAGGTGAACGAGCACGAAGGGCGCCCAGAAGGACATGAGCTCGTGGCCAGGCTCTCTCGCACGGACCGCGAGGTGGCCCAGCACGAAGACGGCCACCGAGTCGGCCGACAGGTACGCAAGCCACAGGACGGTTTGCAGGAACCATTTCGAGCTGCGCCTCCGCATGCCCGCGAAGAGGAAGAGGAAGACTTGCAGGGAAAGGCTGAGGAGGATCATGAAGTGGATCTCCCACGCATTCCACAGCTCTTGGACGACAAGCACCAAACTGATATATATATATATATATATATATATATATATATATATAGGGCATCCATGGATTAATTAATAAGTTCATAGCGTACATACGTTATTTGTTGCTGTCAGTGATAACGACTAGCTAGAATCCTAACACACATCATGTCAGTGATACGTTATTTACAATCCTAACACACACACACATGCAAGGAAGTATTATAAAGTAAAGCTTATCCCAACTGAATAAATATAAGAAAGTATCTATGAGTATTATGTCAAAATATGAACATATAAGAGATAGTTTCAACTATGCACATGTCAAACATATATCAAGACAGTGTTATCCTAGATGCTAAGACCTAGATAGTTGATTATCCTCTTTTTTAAAATTTAGATGATATAGATAAGCGGTTAGACGGACTACACAATTTTTGTAGTGTAGGAGCAATATACGAACACTATAGATCCATAATACATTTTTTTTCAATTGTTATTTTAGGCATACACATAGTTTCACAATTTCGCATAGATAACTAGACAAGTAGGCATAGATATGCTGACATAAAGAGTACAGTGCAAACATATAGAGCTCAGATAACACTTAGCATATGAGTAAATGCAACTGGTTAATTATTGTTCAGTCAAAAAAAAACTGGTTAATTATTGCCGAGAGACAATGTCTAAACAAGTGACTTGACATTTAATCGCATTTATCTTTTGTTTAATTTCATTTAGATCATCTCTGTTAAACACATCGCTAAGCAGTTCTGAAATGGCAGATGATGTGACCAGAGACTTTAGAGCTCGTCCCTATATGCTGGAATTTTGAATTAAGCCAAGGCACTCGAGAGCATGACCAAAGTTGGCATGGAAATTTTGACATTGTTGACCGTCTATATGCGTTTCTTCTTTATTTCAGTGACTAACTAGGTCATAAACTGTATGCATATACGCTCCATTTTGTCAGTTACATATGCATGCAAACTATGGGTTGGGAGTAACAGGTATATGCAACACGATAAAGTTAATTCTGTTAGGATATTAGCAAATAGAAATGAGCAAATACAAGTAATTTTTATTAATGGTAGCCCGAAATCTATCTATCTATATATATATATATATATATATGAATTTCTAGTAGTTTTTTTAATTCTTTAACCATGCAACGACATATGTTAATGGGTTAGTTGAAAGAACCAAAGGTGCTATTGTTTGTTGTCATATCTGCACTACTACTTGCTTACTATGTCAGTTTATCAGTGCATTATATCATTATACCATTGTCATTAAATGGCTGCCAAGTAGGATTTTTTTGCTAACTTGGCATTGAACTAAGAAAGAGAGGAAAGAAGTATCATCCAAAAAATATAGCTTGGGCTCAATATCCAAGGCTAGAAAATAGTGCACAAGTTTTGGGCACATAGACTAACTTTTGTAACAGTGAGTTGACTTAAGATTCATGAGACATTGCACCAAGATACATTTATGCATAGTGACTTTTATATGTAGCTGTTGATTGAATACCCATTTCAAATAAGAGCCATGAATTAATATAGCTCGGTTTTGCATATTTAAGTCTTAGGCTCAGCAGGACTCCTCATATATTTCTTAATTTATTCTAAAATTATCAGAGTTACTTGTGATGACTTATTCTTAATATCTGCTAGCCAAAGGTACTCACAGGGTAGTGTGCATTCACATATTCATATGAGTGAGTGTAGGTGTGTGTATAAGAGCTTCTCCACTGTGTACTGTTTAGAAAAAATATCAAGTCTGAACCTACTTAAGCGACTGGTTAATTATTGTTCAGTAAAAAAAACTGGTTAATTATTGCCGAGAGACAATCTCTAAACAAGTGACTTGACATTTAATCGCATTTATCTTTTGTTTAATTTCATTTAGATCATCTCTGTTAAACACATCGCTAAGCAGTTCTGAAATGGCAGATGATGTGACCAGAGACTTTAGAGCTCACTACTGGAGGCCGCGGCTTTGCCGAGTGTTTTTACACTCGGCAAAGAGCCCTTTGCACTCGGTAAAGGCTTTGCCGAATGTAGCACTCGGCAAAGTCCGCTTGGCAAAATTTTTCTCGGCAAAGGGTCTTTGCCGAGTGTTTTTTATCGGGGCACGCGGCAAAATAAAAAAAATTTGCCGAGTGCTTGGGGCGGCACTCGGCAAAATATTTTCGGCCGTTGCGGCGCCGGCCGTTAACGGTTATTTTGCCGAGTGCCCGACCCTGCACTCGGCAAATTTTTTTTTAAAAAAAAATTACTTTGTAGAGATGTCTGGGTTTTTTGCATCCGACGTCACAACTTGCTCGAAACCTTTTCAATTTTTTACCACAACCTCCACATGCGATAACACGACGCCTCGACAAGTTTCGTGATTTTCGGACTTCGTTTCCATTTTATATAACTTAAAATCACATTTCCGGCAAGTACCTCGACATGTTACGTCAACGAGATGCTCGAGATTTCATGTGAGTTCTGTTGTAACACGACCTCCGAGAGTGGTGGAGACCTACGCGGCCAGTAGTTCGCAGAGACGTCTCCGACCAACTACCTAAGCAAAGGCCCGGCTACCACGCCCCCAGACCCAGAGAGATGACGGTTTCTCAGACTGCTTGCAGGACGCCGCCGGTGACCCTGGCGCAGCCTCCGCCCGGTTAGCTCGTAGGCGTCTCCGGGCGGAGGGGGCGGAGGCCGCCCTGCTGCAAGGGTAATCAAGTGCCAACGTTACCTACGTTTGTGTGCAGGTAACCAGAGGAAGGCGCTCGTGGACGGCGCGGGCGCGCTAGTTCGACCTCCGTTCGCAGGGGCAGAGACCCAAGCAGGAGGACGGCAATACTGGGCGTCGGGGGTCTGCGGTCTCGGCGTCCCAGGGGCGGAGACCGATGGCGGAGGCCTAAAGGCCCATCGCCGAATCTTGAGGCCTGATGGGCCGGCTGATCGCGCAGGCCCAGTACCTGAGGGCGGCAAGACAAGATTACCCCCGAGAAGAATGGCGAGTAGTGGGATATTCTGAGAATGTATTGTAGCAGTTGAAGGGTACTATTGTAAACTCTGTAAAAGTGGTAGTTGAGCCCTATAAATAGGGAACACTTGTAACAGTATGGGAGGTTGGTGAATGAATTAATGAAACCCTAGTTTTACGTGCCATTTCCATACACGCCCGCTTGTCGTGTCTGTTTCCCGAGCCTCAGCCTGAGGGCAGCGCTTGGCAGGCGGAGGCCTCCACCTCCTCCACATTGTCTGAGACCGCAAGTCTCAACATTGGCGCCCACCGTGGTTTGGCCAAGGCAAACCAACGATGGCAGGGAAAAGAAAAACCACCACCAGAGTAGCAACGACCACGGGTCAGCGAGGAAGGCCTAGGCGCACCACTCGTAGCACCTACGCAAGCTCGCCAGCGGAGGATGACACCAGAGCAGATGCCCAAGGTCAACCACCAGAACCCCAAGATCCAGAGATTCAAGATCCGCAGGCCCAACCAAACTCAGCCACAACACTCGAGCAAGAACTGCAACAGCTGCAAGCACAGTTGCAAAGAGCGCAACAAGAGAGGGATAGAATGGCAGCAACATTCGCAGCTAATCAGCAAGCTATTCAAGCGTTAGCACAAGCAGCAGAAATAAGGCAGCAGTTGGCAGTCCTACACGCTGAGATGCTAAGTATGCAGCATGCTGTACCAGTGTCAACCTCCGCAATCCAAGCCTCCGCAGCAACACCAACTGCAACCATACCACAAGGTCCTCCGCCAGTGATCAGCCAGCCCACGATGCCATCTCAGGTGATGCGGAGGCCTATCGATCCCAAGTCCCCACTCTCTGAAGGCATACAACAGTCGCCATGGCCAACGGCGTACAAGTCAATCACACTACCAAAGTTCAACGGAAAGACATACCCCCATCAGTTTATTATGAGTTACGAGGCAGCAGTAGCCTCCACCGGCGGAGATGACGCCGTCTTGGCAAAGTCATTTGTCATTGTAGCCGAAGGCGATGCGTTGGCTTGGTATTCTATGCTCAAACCAAGCACAGTCTATTCTTGGGAGAACCTCCGGGACAAGATATTGGCAAACTTCAAGGGGCTAACAGCACAGTCACTGACTTCCACAGATCTGTTCCAGTGCAAGCAAATGCAGGGAGAGACACTACACGACTACTTTTGGAAATTCGTGCAACTAAAGGCGAAGGCACCAGATGTCCCAGACGAGATAACCATTGAAGCAGCGATCAAAGGCCTCCGAATCGGGCCGTTCACAGCACACCTAGCAAGAAAGAAACCAACTTCCATACAGCAGTTGTATGACGAGTTCGAGAAATACTACAGATCAGACAATGACCTCCAGAAAAGGCTGGAGGAGCAGGGTCAAAATAGACAGCAAAACAGTAGCAAAAACTCCCAGAAAACCTATACGAACCAGAATGCATCAAATCAGAAACTAGGCCAGGGGCAAGTGCTTAGCATCGAGGGTCAACCTCACCCCGAGCAAGGGCAACTAGCAGCGCCAGCACGGCCGGAGACCCAGACCAGGAACCAAGGTCGGCAAGGTTACCAAGGCAAAAACTGGAACAAAAACCACAGCCAGAAACAACGCAGGCCATATTGTGTTTTTCATGGCGAAAACGCAGGGCACAGCACCAAAGATAGTCCGGAGACAAAAGAGACACAGGAAAGGCTGAAGAACAAGCAGACTGCCCAACCTCAGACACAGCAGAGCACAAGAGAGGTCAACACTACCTACACAACTAGCCACCAGCAGTACTGCCCAATGTACCCAGCGCTAAATGCAACCAAAATACATCCCTCCACACTGGCCTCTACCTATTACCCAAACTTCCTACCAGCATGGCGGTCAGCGCCTTCACAGCAGCCTCCGGCGGGTAACTACAGGTCGGAGGCAAGCCTGACCTACATAAACCCAAAACCTCCCCACATAACCTACCTCGAAACAAACCCACTGGCACAAAACCAAAT